AAGAGAGCGATTCACACCAGACATCCCAAGAATATTTCTACACTGAAACAATTTTGTGAAGAGGAGTGGTCCAAAATTACTCCAGATCGTTGTGCAGGTCTGATCTGCAACTACAGGAAACGTTTGGTTGAGGTTATTCCTGCCAAAGGAGGGTCAATCAGTTATTAAATCAAAGGTTCACATACTTTTTCCTCCCTGCACTGTGAATGTTTACATGTTATGTGCAATTAAACCATGGCAACATCTAATGTTTGTGTAGTATTATGTTCAGCAGACTGTGTTCTTCTATTGTTGTGACTTAGATGACGTTCAGAGCACATTTTATGCCCAATTCATGCAAAACTCCACGTAATCCCAAGGGGTTCACATACTTTTTCTTGCAACTGTATATATATATATATATATATATATATATATATATATTTTAAAAATATATTCTTCAGATTTGTTTTTTACATATAAAAAAAGTAATTTTAACATATATTTGTAAATGCATTACAAAAATGTAGATTTGTATTTTTAAACACATGCAGTATATTTGAACTGTATTTTTCAAAATATTTTTCATATATTTAGTAATAAAAACACATTTCAACATACAGTATATATTTATTTGTTAAAATAGAATTTGAAATATATTGAATATGGTCAAAGTTGTAGCATTCCAAATATATGTCAATATATTTGGGAAGAATATTTTTAAAAATATATTTCAAATATAGTTGTCTTCCATATGGGTAAGGCCAGCCAACTGCTATCCCCAATCTGAACAGAATACCCTCTTTGGCCATAGAGTCTCTCTCATGCAAAGGTGGGCTTTTCAGGCTAGAAAAAAAAAAAAAAGGTGAGGGCATTTTGCAATGCTCGAACATACAGGTGAAACTCAAAAAATTTGAATATCGTGCAAAAGTTCATTTATTTCAGTGCAGCAACTTAAAAGGTGAAACTAATATATGAGATAGACTCATTACATGCAAAGCAAGATAGTTCAAGCCGTGATTTGTCATCATTGTGATGATTATGGCTTACAGCTCATGAAAACCCCAAATCCACAATCTCAGAAAATGAGAATATTGTGAAAAGGTGCAATATTCTCGGCTCAAAGTGTCCCACTCTAATCAGATAATTAAGCCATAACACCTGCAAAGGGTTCCTGAGCCTTTAAATGGTCTCTCAGTCTGGTTCAGTAGGAATCACAATCAAGGGAAAGACTGCTGACCTGACACCATCATTGACACCCTCCATAAGGAGGGAAAGCCTCAAAAGGTAATTGCAAAAGAAGTTGGATGTTCCCAAAGTGCTGTATCAAAGCGCATTAATAGAAAGTTATGTGGAAGGGAAAAGTGTGGAAGAAAAAGGTGCACAAGCAGCAGGGATGACTGCAGCCTGGAGAGGATTGTCAGGAAAAGGCCATTCAAAAGTGTTGGGGACTTTCACAAGGAGTGGACTGAGGCTGGAGTCAGTGCATCAAGAGCCACCACACACAGACAGATCCTGGACATGAGCTTCATATGTCATATTCCTCTTGTCAAGCCGCTCCTGAAAAACAAACAATGTCAGAAGCGTCTTACCTGGGCTAAAGAAAAACAGACCTGGTCTGTTGCTCAGTGGTCCAAAGTCCTCATTTCTGATGAGAGCAACTTTTGCATCTCATTTGGAAACCAAGGACCCCGAGTATGGAGGAAGAATGGAGAGGCCCAAGGACCCCGAGTATGGAGGAAGAATGGAGAGGCCCAAGGACCCCGAGTATGGAGGAAGAATGGAGAGGCCCAAGGACCCCGAGTATGGAGGAAGAATGGAGAGGCCCAAGGACCCCGAGTATGGAGGAAGAATGGAGAGGCCCAAGGACCCCGAGTATGGAGGAAGAATGGAGAGGCCCAAGGACCCCGAGTATGGAGGAAGAATGGAGAGGCCCCCAAGGACCCCGAGTATGGAGGAAGAATGGAGAGGCACACACTGCAAGGTGCTTGAAGTCCAGTGTGAAGTTTCCACAGCCTGTGTTGATTTGGGGAGCCATGTCATCTGCTGGTGTTGGTCCACTGTGCTTCATTAAGTCCAGGGTCAACACAGCCGTCTACCAGGAGATTTTGGAGCACTTCATGCTTCCTTCCACAGACAAGCTTTATGGGGATGCTTACTTCATTTTCCAGCAGGACTTGGCACCGCCCACACTGCCAAAAGCACCAAAACCTGGTTCAATGACCGTGGGATTACTGTGCTTGATTGGCCAGCAAACTCGCCTGACCTGAACCCCATAGAGAATCTATGGGGCATTGCCAAGAGAAAGATGACAGACATGAGACCGAACAATGCAGAAGAGCTGAAGGCCGCTATTGAAGCATTCTGGTCTTCCATAACACCTCAGCAGTGCCACAGGCTGATAGCTTCCATGCCACGCCGCATTGAGGCAGTAATTGCTGCAAAAGGGGCTCAAACCAAGTACTGAGTACATATGCATGCTTCTACTTTTCAGAGGTCTGATATTGTTCTATGTACAATCCTTGTTTTATTGATTGCATGGAATATTCTCATTTTCTGAGATTGTGGATTTGGGGTTTTCATGAGCTGTAAGCCATAATCATCACAATGATGACAAATCACGGCTTGAACTATCTTGCTCTGCATGTAATGTGTCTATCTCATATATTAGTTTTTCACCTTTTAAGTTGAATTACTGAAATAAATTAACTTTTGCACGATATTCTAATTTTTTCGAGTTTCACCTGTAGATAAGACTTCCAATGACAGGTTCACTTCAAAGGACAAGTGTCATTAAAGTACTTTTCCTGGCTTTTCCTTATCCCTGCATCCTAATAAAGATCCTGATTTGAGGATAATCAGGACATTCAGACAAGGGACCTCCAGCCTGGAAGTGTGTTTAGATCTTTCTGTTCCTGCATTAGCTGCTCTTGGCACTACTAGAGGAAGGTAAAGGGGAAACAATATATGGTCTTTGTACTGTGATGTGCAATCCATCTCTCATCTTCCCTTCAGCGTCCTCCAGTAACAATAATGGGGCACTATTCCTTTCACTGACACCAATGATGAACCATTCCACCCAGTGATACCAATGATGGGGCACTATTCCTCCACTGACGCCAATGATGGGGGACTATTCCTCCCACTGACGCCAATGATGGGGGACTATTAATCCCACTGACGCCAATGATGGGGGACTATTCCTCCCACTGATACCAATGATGGGGCACTATTCCTCCCACTGATACCAATGATGGGGCTCTATTCCTCCCACTGATAGCAATGATGGGGCACTATTCCTCCCACTGATACTGATGGGGCTCTATTCCTCCCACTGATAGCAATGATGGGGCGCTATTCCTCCCACTGATACCAATGATGGGGCTCTATTCCTCCCACTGATACCAATGATGGGGCTCTATTCCTCCCACTGATAGCAATGATGGGGCACTATTCCTCCCACTGATACCAATGATGGGGCTCTATTCCCCCCACTGATAGCAATGATGATGAAGCTCTATTCCTCCCACTGATAGCAATGATGGGGCACTATTCCTCCCACTGATACCAATGATGGGGGACACTATTCCTCCCACTGATACCAATGATGGGGCACTATTCCTCCCACTGATACCAATGATGGGACACTATTCCTCCCACTGATACCAATGATGGGGCACTATTCCACCCACTGATACCAATGATGGGGCACTATTCCACCCACTGATACCAATGATGAGACACTATTCCTCCCACTGATACCAATGATGGGACACTATTCCTCCCACTGACACCAATGATGGGGCACTATTCCTCACACTGATACCAATGATGGGGCACTATTCCACCCACTGATACCAATGATGAGACACTATTCCTCCCACTGATACCAATGATGGGTACTATTCCTCCCACTGATACCAATGATGGGGCACTATTCCTCACACTGATACCAATGATGGGGCACTATTCCTCCCACTGACACCAATGATGGGGCACTATTCCTGACACTGATACCAATGATGGGGCACTATTCCTCACACTGATACCAATGATGGGGCACTATTCCTCACACTGATACCAATGATGGGGCACTATTCCTCACACTGATACCAATGATGGGGCACTATTCCTTCCCCTGATACTAATGATGGGGCACTATTCCTTCCCCTGATACTAATGATGGGGCACTATTCCTGCCGCTGATACCAATGATGGGGTACTATTCCTCCCACTAATACCACAGTCTGGCCGCCTCAAAGTCTGAATGACAACAAACTGGCTCTTTGTTTGGAGACCCCTGCTTTACACCATAGATGGGGCTCCAATTCTGAGAGCTTGAAGACTCCTTCAAAAAGAAACATTGTCAAACGGAATAACTTTTGTGGCTTATCTAAAGTAGACTATTCCTCTTGTGAGGAAACAAATCTAAACATCTACAAATGTCTCTACATGGGTTAAAAGAGTTTGTAAGCACCAGAGTCCAGGACACTTGATCGTTACATAGTGGCACCAGAGTCCAGGACACTTGATCGTTACATAGTGGCACCAGAGTCCAGGACACTTGATCGTTACATAGTGGCACATTCATTTTGTACCAAAGCATTTAGCCGTGCAAAAATCTGCAAATGAGGTAATCTGTCAATGGCCAGAGATAGTTCTACATCCAGTACAGTGATGGCTGCGCACACAGGATGCCGCGGTCCACAGCGTGTATATTGCACTTGAAGTTATAAAGAGTGAATCGTGCTCTTCTGAGGTACTATGGTAAGTAGTAGCAATCTCATAGTTCATTTCTATACAAATCCTCTCCATCAGTGCATTGATTGGCTGATGAGAGTTTTGATTGCCGCGTACTGCGATGAGAAACTACGTCTGGCCAGAACAAAAACACGCAATGATACAGCAAAAGTCAGGGTGCAACGTGTGTCATGGGACAATGGGTGGCTTTGCTTTTGCCCGTTTAGGACAACAAAGGATGATATGGCCCTGAGATGCTAGTAAGGGTGCTGTAGACGAACTTAAACTGGTTTGAGGTCGGCGACGCCATTGGTGTTCATGCAAACACGGCTGCTGGAGCAGTGGGTTGACTTGCACACGTATTGGTCAACGGAGCACAAGCAGCTCCTGAGCATTTCCTCGGGTAAGCCCTTCTTAAGACGCTCCATTTGTTCAACTTGGAATATGTTGGGCTGTTCAGGATTCGAGTCGTAAATTCTGCAAAACAAGAAAATAAAACAATTTAAATAATTTTAATAAAAATATGCATGACTTCTTAACCTTTATCACAAGTGTCCAAGGAGGTGTCTACTGCGCACAGACTCCAATAAGATTTTGATAATTGTTTTTTTTTTTTTTTCCCCAGATCAATGCTAAACTAATGATCTGATTGGACAGCAGAATGTTCCTTTCAGGCACTATGAGTAAATAGAAACATGGTTCCAGGCCACAATTTGACATGCAAAGCTGGCCATACAAAGACAAATAAGTGATATGTGATGATAAATCCCAGCTACAGCCCCGGGCTGTGGACCTGACAAAGGTTGCGTTGAGGGGTTTGGATTTTTCTGAAGGCTCATACAGAGATTTCTTAGGTATGCTAGAAAAGTGCTGTGACCAGCAGAGGGCTTCTAATAGACTTTTTCATTTATATAGCAAAAAAATAAAAATCCCAGTGGTGAATAAATACCACCAAAATAAAGTTTTATCGGTCTAAAAAAAAAAAAAATGCGAAAAAAAATTCATATGGGTACAGTGTTGCATGACCGCGCAATTGTCATTCAAAGTGTGATTGCACTGAAAGCTGAAAATTGGGCTGGGCAGGAAGGGGGTGAAAGTGTCCGGACTGGAAGGGGGGAAAAGTGTCCGGACTGGAAGGGGGGGAAAAGTGTCCGGACTGGAAGGGGGGAAAAGTGTCCGGACTGGAAGGGGGGAAAAGTGTCCGGACTGGAAGGGGGGAAAAGTGTCCGGACTGGAAGGGGGGAAAAGTGTCCGGACTGGAAGGGGGGAAAAGTGTCCGGACTGGAAGGGGGGAAAAGTGTCCGGACTGGAAGGGGGGAAAAGTGTCCGGACTGGAAGGGGGGAAAAGTGTCCGGACTGGAAGGGGGGAAAAGTGTCCGGACTGGAAGGGGGGAAAAGTGTCCGGACTGGAAGGGGGGAAAAGTGTCCGGACTGGAAGGGGGGAAAAGTGTCCGGACTGGAAGGGGGGGAAAAGTGTCCGGACTGGAAGGGGGGAAAAGTGTCCGGACTGGAAGGGGGGAAAAGTGTCCGGACTGGAAGGGGGGAAAAGTGTCCGGACTGGAAGGGGGGAAAAGTGTCCGGACTGGAAGGGGGGAAAAAGTGTCCGGACTGGAAGGGGGGAAAAGTGTCCGGACTGGAAGGGGGGAAAAGTGTCCGGACTGGAAGGGGGGAAAAGTGTCCCGGACTGGAAGGGGGGAAAAGTGTCCGGCCTGGAAGGGGGGGAAAAAAAGTGTCCGGCCTGGAAGGGGGGAAAAGTGTCCGGCCTGGAAGGGGGGGAAAAGTGTCCGGCCTGGAAGGGGGGAAAAGTGTCCGGCCTGGAAGGGGGGAAAAGTGTCGGCCTGGAAGGGGGGAAAGTGTCCGGCCTGGAAGGGGGGGAAAGTGTCCGGCCTGGAAGGGGGGGAAAGTGTCCGGCCTGGAAGGGGGGGAAAGTGTCCGGACTGGAAGGGGGGGAAAGTGTCCGGACTGGAAGGGGGGGAAAGTGTCCGGACTGGAAGGGGGGGAAAGTGTCCGGACTGGAAGGGGGGGAAAGTGTCCGGACTGGAAGGGGGGGAAAGTGTCCGGACTGGAAGGGGGGAAAAGTGTCCGGACTGGAAGGGGGGAAAAGTGCCCGGACTGGAAGGGGGGAAAAGTGCCCGGACTGGAAGGGGGGAAAAGTGTCCGGACTGGAAGGGGGGAAAAGTGTCCGGACTGGAAGGGGGGAAAAGTGTCCGGACTGGAAGGGGGGAAAAGTGTCCGGACTGGAAGGGGGGAAAAGTGTCCGGACTGGAAGGGGGGAAAAGTGTCCGGACTGGAAGGGGGGGAAAGTGTCCGGACTGGAAGGGGGGAAAAGTGTCCGGACTGGAAGGGGGGGGAAAAAAGTGTCCGGACTGGAAGGGGGGGAAAAGTGTCCGGCTGGAAGGGGGGAAAAGTGTCCGGCCTGGAAGGGGGGGAAAGTGTCGGCCTGGAAGGGGGGGAAAGTGTCCGGACTGGAAGGGGGGGAAAGTGTCCGGCCTGGAAGGGGGGGAAAGTGTCCGGCCTGGAAGGGGGGGAAAGTGTCCGGCCTGGAAGGGGGGGAAAGTGTCCGGCCTGGAAGGGGGGGGAAAGTGTCCGGCTGGAAGGGGGGGAAAGTGTCCGGACTGGAAGGGGGGGAAAGTGTCCGGACTGGAAGGGGGGGAAAGTGTCCGGACTGGAAGGGGGGGAAAGTGTCCGGACTGGAAGGGGGGGAAAGTGTCCGGACTGGAAGGGGGGGGAAAGTGTCCGGACTGGAAGGGGGGGGGAAGTGTCCGGACTGGAAGGGGGGGAAAGTGTCCGGACTGGAAGGGGGGGAAAGTGTCCGGACTGGAAGGGGGGGAAAAAGTGTCCGGACTGGAAGGGGGGGGAAAGTGTCCGGACTGGAAGGGGGGAAAAGTGTCCGGACTGGAAGGGGGGGGGGTAAGTGTCCGGACTGGAAGGGGGGGGGAAGTGTCCGGACTGGAAGGGGGGGGGAAGTGTCCGGACTGGAAGGGGGGAAAAATGTGTCCGGACTGGAAGGGGGGAAAAAATGTGTCCGGACTGGAAGGGGGGGAAAAAAATGTGTCCGGACTGGAAGGGGGGGAAAAATGTGTCCGGACTGGAAGGGGGGGGAAAAAATGTGTCCGGACTGGAAGGGGGGAAAAAATGTGTCCGGACTGGAAGGGGGGAAAAATGTGTCCGGACTGGAAGGGGGGAAAAATGTGTCCGGACTGGAAGGGGGGGAAAAATGTGTCCGGACTGGAAGGGGGGAAAAAAAAGAAAAAAATGTGTCCGGACTGGAAGGGGGAAAAAATGTGTCCGGACTGGAAGGGGGAAAAAATGTGTCGGACTGGAAGGGGGAAAAAATGTGTCCGGACTGGAAGGGGGAAAAAATGTGTCCGGACTGGAAGGGGGTGAAAGTGTCCGGACTGGAAGGGGGGGGGAAAGTGTCCGGACTGGAAGGGGGGGAAAGTGTCCGGACTGGAAGGGGGAAAAAATGTGTCCGGACTGGAAGGGGGAAAAAAAATGTGTCCGGACTGGAAGGGGGTGAAAGTGTCCGGACTGGAAGGGGGGGGAAAGTGTCCGGACTGGAAGGGGGGGAAAGTGTCCGGACTGGAAGGGGGGGAAAGTGTCCGGACTGGAAGGGGGGGAAAGTGTCCGGACTGGAAGGGGGGGAAAGTGTCCGGACTGGAAGTGGTTAAGAGGTTGATAATCATTCACATAACAGTGTTTTTCAAGCAAATTAAACAAACATGCCAAAGCTGGTGCAGAGAAAACGGTGCACTCCACTCCAACATAAACATTCCCAATGAAGTGGGCTGTCGGCTGCCTGCGGGGGTGCAATGTTAAAGCGACAGTATCCCTATTCTCTAAAAAATAATCCATACACATCCACTCTACTTAATGGTCCACTACCTCATACAGTCCCAGCGTGAAGATCCAACACAGTCAATACCCCCTCACTGGTTCATTTTAATCATCTCACACCCTGCTATGGTCCTGGAGTTGGAGGATTACCGCTGATGCTACTTAGGCCAACCACAAAGTATGACCAGCAGTAAGAAAACGGATGAAGAAACTTCACAGCCCTTGACAGTATGTAAACCCAACATTTCATATTCCTGTTATGTGCCTGCTGTACAATGAAAAAAAATCTCCGGTTCTCTTTGAATTGCTTCCTTTGTGTGAAATCCCTGGTGTTCCTGTCAGTTTCTATGGTTTCCTATCAAAAACTGACCACACTAGGCATAACAGCACAGCGTGGTCAGTTCTCTAGCTGTGCTGGGAACTCAGCCTGCTCTCCTCTAATGATCAGACTTGTCCTGACACGCCACCCTACCACAGCAATTCACTGGGAAGATCATTGTGGTACTGTTTTCTTCTCCCCCAGCTCTTATGCAGCTGAAAACAGAGGGAATGAGATCACTTATAAAAAAAAAAAAAAAATCATTATAAACACACTTTTTCCCCTTTTTTTATTTTTCAACTATACACAAATGTTTGGCTCTGTTTTCTATTCTAACCACTTCCGGACTGCCCTATAGCAGACATACTGCTACAGGTCAGCACAGGTGCACAAAATCACATATACTGTATATATACACACGCGATTTCGCATTTCCGGGTAGGGGGCGTGTGCGAGCTGCGAGCGCACCCTAACCGTGCCACAATCACTGGGTCCCGGATGGTGATTACCCACCAGCGCCTGGTAATTACCAACAATCACCAACGGGGAGGAGGGCTGCTTTGTTTACCAACAGCACTCCTCCCGATCAGCTCGGGCACACTGCTCTGGATAGCTGTGCACAGCCATCCAGAGCAGTGTGCTTACAGTGAAGCACACACCCCTGCCCCTTAGAAAAACACTCCCAGCACACAATTAACCCTTTGATTGCACCTCATGTTAACCCCTTCCATGTTAATCCAGTGCCATTAGTACAGTGTCAACTGCATTTTTTTTTAGCTCCGATCACTGTATTGGTGTCACTGGGGATGTCAGTGACACCAAGTCAGTTCCCCCCCAGTGTCAGAATGCCCGCCGCAGTGCCGCTATAAGTCGCTAATCGCCACCATTATTATTAAAAAAAAAAAAACATTTCAGTATCTATACCGCCATTTGTAAACACTATAACTTTCACGTAAACCAATTAATTTACACGTATTGGGTTTTTTTTTTTTTTTCTAGCAAAAGACATGGAGCAGAATACATTTTGGCCTAAATTTATGACGAAATTTGATTTTTTAAATTTTTTTTACTGGACATGTTTAAACTGAATGGGTTGTTTTACATATACTTCAACAAGCACTTTGGAGCCTGGAAAGTATGTACTTTGCACATGGACTACCTCATCACCATCCACCTACAATGTAAATGAGCCTATTTAACCTCCCGAGCGGTCTGATTATGTCCATATTTCTGTGCTCAAAGTGGTACATTTTTTTTTGCATGGAAATATGTATTTTTTTTATTGTAGGCCTGTAATTTTTAGGAATAACTCACTGAAATC